AGGTGTTACTTGTGATTTTGGGATGTTTTTGAGGGATTCCTTGAGCCCATTTTGGTCTGTGAACAATCTCAATGCAAAACACTTAATTCTGACATGGGTTTAGGTGTTTAAAATGAATTTTATTTTCAGTTCTGTTCTGGCATTAATTGTCTATTTCCAACACTATTTTCTAAATGTTCTTAGTCTGACAAGCTGCCTTTATATTAACTTAGTTTTTGGAGGGAAGATTCTGTCCTTTTGAGTCTCCTCTGCCATCCCTAATGTATTTGTTTTAATTTCAACTAGGAAGACAACTGGAGGTTTTAAATACCTTTATGGACCCCTTTATACATTTATTAATCTTGTGAAGGAGAGTGGCTGTGACTTTTAAGTTCAGATTTAAACCAAGCAGGTTAATAGCTTGCTTTTTGCAGGGCCCACTCACACTCTTGTCTTGTTATGTGTGACAAACCAAACGTAACACAGGCTGAGATATGTCACGTTGTTATTTTTAGAGTTGTTCAGGATTGCTGTCTTGTTGATTCACTTAATGCTAATGGAAGAAACTATCTCCTTTTCTTTGGGACTTAATTTTGATATTCTTGAGATATTTTCCATACTGGAGAGTACTGTCAGATGTGGAGTGTTTGCTCCAGTTGTTTATGCTAGACGGTAACAGCTACAATAAATTTATTCCACGTTAAATCAAGTAGATTGGCTGATGGTGATCAGAATTTTCCAGAGTACGTTCAGTAGCACAGCATTTTATTAAATTTCCTTTATAGGCAGAAATTGAAAAGAGAATAAGGCAACGCTTAGACTTAAGGCAAACATACGAAGAGCAATTGGCTTTAAAGAAGATACTGCAACAAGCTGTGCAAGAAGAGGAAGAAGCCTGCAGACAACAGATGTTGGCCAAGCTTGCAGAGGACGATCGCATTGAGCAGATGAATGCTCAGAAACGAAGAATGAAACAGCTTGAACATAGAAGGGCTGTGGAAAAACTGATTGAAGACCGTTGCAAGCAGTTTATTGCAGCTAAAGTAAGAGTTTTCATATTCACCTTCGGTTTGAGCCCAAGTGTCTCAATATGAGAATGCCTTTTGCTGTCCTAACTGACAAAGCTGTTGTGACTAAGGAAAGATGACAGGGAAATTGCAGAGAAGTGTGCAGGGTAGAAGAAAGCCTTTGTGTTGGTTTGCTGACCAGAAAAAAAAAAGTTTTTTTGGAGCTGACTTATATAGTTCAGGAGATCAGAGTCAGCAACATCCCTAGACCCCTGTGTACCTGGCATGCCCTGCAAATCTCTCTCCCGGAGCCGTGGCATGAGCAACGCACTGTTCTCCAGTTGAGCATCACTGAAAAGGATGGGGGGGGGGGGGGGGCTGGGTTTTAGATTGAGTCTCTTGAATTATCATCAGAGGAAGAAAAGGCATAACCTGAAAACAAGTCATGGAATCTTATACTGCAGGTTTTGGACCTGTTTAGGGTATAAATCACACGTGTAATGCAAACTGCAGTTTGCAGTCAGCAGTGTGAGAATACAGGCCTATTTCTTCTTTTCCTGGATTAGAGCAGTAGGGCAGGAACAGACTATCTTGTCTGAGAGCCAAGGAGTCAGAACTTACCTACCTTGAAAAGGCCTTCTAGTATGAGACCAAACACACAGCAGACTAGCCTCATGTCTTGCTGTTCAGTCTTCTCTTTTGTCTGAGATATTTCTGTAGTTACTAAACATGTATCATTTGAACAGTGCTTTCTGGGTTTTACATACACTTTTCCATCTTTTTCAAATTAATTTCCTGTGAGCATGAGTTAATAAGTGGCCATTCAAAATTTACTGCACAAAAAAAAATTTTCTTTATACTGTGGTTGATATTGGAGGAAACAAATGTTCTCAGGGCTGAAACTGAGCAGTTATGAGATCTTGCACATTTATTGTAGGAGCGTGAACTTGAGGAAAGACAGTTACAGGAGAGAAGACAAGAAAACATCCGTGCAATTGTTGAAGAAGAGAGACAGAAACTCTTGAAAGAGCACGCATCTAAATTACTGGGTTATCTTCCTCGAGTAAGTGAATTGTATTTTATGTGCTCTAAACATTTGTCCTGTAAATCAGTTTTCTTTTGGATAGTTTAAGGTGAAGTTGCAAAACTGTGTAAATTCCAGGGGTCAGCGGGTGTCCTTACTGTGTCAGCTCTCCTGTGCTCACCTCTTCCTTTTTCCTTTTTGAGTTGGGAAGCAATTTACAAAAATATTCTTTCGGTACAAGAGGCTTTGGGCTCTACTGCAGTATTGAAGCCTTGTGCAGAACTTGCTGAAAGCTTCCACAGGGCTTTGCTCGTCCACTTTTTGGAATACAGAATATAAGTTCTAAACCAGGCCTTGTCTAGCTAGAGAGGAGTCCATTGCATCTTAAACACCATTTCTACCCAATTTCTTAGCTGGGGTTTTGAGAGCCATTTCTTACAGTGTTGGCTGTCTTCTAAGTCTTCTGTTACTGTGGAAACAAGGCCTCGCCTCTGTTGCAGTGCAGGAAAGCCAGTGCTTACAGAAGCATTTCAAAGCTCTCCTGATCCTTGTGCTCTTAAAAGTTAGTAAGATGGAAGCGATTATTGAAATAGGAATAAACTAAAATTTATTTTGTATTGCACTTCTTAATTGGAAAGATCACTGGATGGTACACAGATGAACAGGGAACTGCTTTAGGATATAAAAATGCACTTACAGTAGGGAGACAATTATCCAAGTATTTAAAGAACAGACACTGGAAAACATTGTATGATTTTTATTCAAACATTAATATGCCAATTTGGTACGCAGAATTGTAAAATTTGGAGTTATTTTCTAATGTAGATTTAATTAAAGCCTAACTCAGTTTTGCAATATTTTTATCTATTTTTTTGATTTGAGTTCACTGCTGTGGGAAGTCTTGGCTACTTCAGAGCATCCAAGGCTCACCCCTGTTCCACGGTATTGATGTTCAACTTTGTTCTTTTCTCTGCTTCAACACTATGTCTGAATAATGTGATCACATGGCATGTTAGCTCTCTCAAAATGGTAAAAATGAAGTACTACCTAACTCTAAGGTCTCCAACATAAATGCCATTTGTCTTTTTTTTTTTTTTAATCCTGCAAGGTAAGTTCTGTGGGTCATACACATTTTCAGCCCTAAAACCAATTCCAAATTAGAGGTTTAGACTTCTGGGTTCCCCTGCTTCCCTTCCCCAAAACATAGTTTCTGATTAAGTTGTTCAGTATCAGTTGATTTCCATAATAATCTTTGTATGGGCCAATTTTGATGGAACTAAAGGTGGAGATAAAGCCCTGCCTCAGTCAGTGTCTCTTTTCAGCGCAGCTGCTTTATTTTCTAAACCTGCCCCCATGCTGTGCTGACTGTAACCACTTTTGTTAGAAAGCGAATGCAGATGAAAGTTATCTTTTGCATATTCCTGTTGGAATCTTTATGGGCTTCTATTTTCTTTATATTATATATATTCTTATATTCTTATAATTCTATAATTCTATAATTCTTATATATTATATTCTTCTTTATATCATCATTTGTGTGAAGAACAGAAAAGGTGGTTCTAGGTGAGCACCAAGTGCACCAATCTGAAACTCATTTATTGAACTTCTGTGATGGTGTTCAGGGCTGTTTGTTTTAAAGGTAACACTGATACCATGGATACAAGCTGCTACATTCACTTCCGTGGAACATCTCAGCGATCTATAGTAATCTCTCTGCTTTGTTTCACCTAATGACGTGTGCTTCTTTCCACTTATTGCAGGGAGTACTCAAAGACGAAACTGACATTAATATGCTTGGAGAAGAATTTAGACAGGCTTATCAGAAGAGAAGAGGTAATGCATTTTCAGGAGAGCACTGAAGTTTCCCTCGTCGCATCACTGGCTTTGCCACTAGGTGTCATCTGATTTCTAATGAAAAATTTCAATTTGCTGTTAAGTAAGGAACTCCTTTTTAACAGCTTAAAAAGTCTCCATTTTAATGCTGGAGTTGTCAGCTGATGAGCAGTTAGTTTTGTTAAAGTGGATTGCATTTTTCATCAATAAACTGTTAGGGTGTTCTTGATTATTCTCAGTGGTGTAGCACTGTTAAAACTGTTTTCTCCAGCAGCTCTGCAGAAACCTAAGCTAGTGTAAATTCATGTGTATATTTCAGTATGGATGGTAAGATTCTCTTATTGCACTACTTCTGGTTCTAATGGAAAGATTTGTCTATGCTGATGTTACACTATTAAAGTGATAACCCAAATGTAGTTTCTCTCCTGCCAAAGGGGTAGGTCTGAGTTACTTGTTTGTTTGTTCATGTTGCTTTTCTGGTAGGATCCAAGCAGATACTTTTTCCATTTTGAGGTCAGAATCACTGTTTATCGCTTTCTTACAATGCATAAATGTATATTTAGGTGCCATGTTCCTATTCAATTACTTCCTTATACAATTACACCAGCCAGGGTGTAAGGTGTAGTAGCTACAAGTTATGATCATTTCTATAAAAGAGCTGTTGGTGCTTAAATTAGATGCCAGATGAACTAGCTTTGAGGGGAGATCTGTTACAGAGAACAGACAAGGCCAATTTTCCAACCACGTGCTTTAAAAAGGACATGACATTTTCTTCTCTGCTGGATCACTGGTTAATTTATTTCTGTTACAAAAAGGAATTTTCTGAGACCAAATTCTCACTTCTTTGGACTATTACCTTAGATATAAGGTATAGTTTTAAATGCTAAACCAGAGCAAACTGATACCAAAGTTCACGTGTTGGAATATTCCTTGCACGGTCTGTGCTTTTCCACTCATTACAGTGTGGACAGTTTGGACTGAAACTATCAACACAACCTATCAGGCTTTTAAAAGTTAAACAATTTAAACATAAACAAAATCAACAGAATCCATTTACTGGGATATGCAGTTATTAACTGTTAACAAGGATTTCATATACAGTGCCAAAGTAGCGTACCATCTGACTTGTGTTCCAAACAGGAGTTGCTTTTATGGAATCAATAATTTCCCCACTCAAGAACTTTCATGAATTCCTCTTCAGTGAAAGACAGCATCTTGGCAGCTTCAAGGTGCATCTTTAAAAAAAAGAAAAAAAGGAGCCAAAGGTAAAATAGTGTGGCTGGCCAGTCACAAAATCCTGTGTAACTGGGGTAGCTGAAAGGGGCTTCAAATCTAGCCTATTCTGTTCTTTGTACCATGGCTCCCATGGATGTTCACCTGTTTAAGCTAAAGCTACTAGCTGTATTTTTCTGCAAAAATCTACAGTGTAGGGATAATGTGATAAATTCTGCACTAAACGTTGCAATTTCAGCTCTAGTAAAACAGGACTGGTAGCTTTTCTTAGTTCCTTATACTGCTTTAAAAAATATCTGGCGTGGAAACAGCTGAAAATCTCACAACTCGCATAACCTCTGAAGAACACTCATAAGAAAACTGATATACATTCTTCAAGCTGCTCAATATACAGCCTAACTTTTAAGCTATTACCAGTCAATTATGCCATTAAGATTCAATGTTCTAGCACTTCTAATATGTGTGATTTAATGTTGAATGGGGACTTTAACAAAATAATGTAACACCATTAAAAACTATCAATCAGCATAAAAGAGAGTAACTGTACTACACTGTGACAAGAAAGAGCTGGAGCTGACCCCCGGTATCTGTGTTGCTCTGTATCACACTGGACAACTGTGGCCCATTATGGCACATTCACACACACCTGCCACCTGTACACACATCTGTGCTTAAAACCAGTCAAGAGTCTCCATTTGTATTTCCACTACACAGGATAAAGCACAGTACTTGAAAGGGAACAAACAACTTTTTAACTTATAACAAGGCTCTTCTCTGAAAAATAATGCAATTGCTTGGAAAAATGTCATCAAGATCATCAGTGTTTGATGAGAAAAGAAGTACTAAGTGGTCACTGTGTTTGCACAGAAAATTATGCAATCGTCATATTAAATTGACATCAAATTAAGGCCCTGCAGCCAGAAAGCCCTGAGCTCCCTGGCTTCCAGCTGAGGTCACAGCAGAGGTGACAGCTCCACCACACGTCATCCCCAGAGTATAGTCGCTTTACCTGTCATCATTCACTGTGGAAAGCGTCCCAGCTAAATAGTTACTGCAAATTTTAATAAAATGGGGATGTTTTCAAGAACAGAAAACAATTCACATCTCTAAGGAGTCTGATGGGGTTTGTTTTTTGCATACAGACATACTGTTAGTTCAAACTGTATTGCTGTTCCCACAGGCACCACAGCACCCTTCAGCTCTGTACAGCTCAGACTAATTTCACTTTAATCCCTTTTAAAACTATGATTTTCTATTTAATTCTCTCTCTCAAGATGGTTTCTCTTCACAGACTATGGGAAGAGTGGTCTGAGGAGACCAACTTGGGAACACCAGCAGCTACTTGCTGCCAGCTGCAACTCATCCTAGCATTGGTATTTAATACCTTTTGGGTTTGTTTCCTCTGTCATTCTTCATGCAGTAGCAATTCCTGACATGCAGGCTAACTGTACCTGCCACACGCATCTGAATCTGCCACACAAGTATTACACGGATAGCCCAAATCAGAGTTTCCGCATTTGTTCAACAAAAGGCTTGTGTGAAGCAGACCTGAAGTTCTCCACGTGGTGAAGTGCTGGGGTTAAACCCCTAGCCCTGAATGAGGGCTGGCATCTGGATGATGTCCACAACCAGGCAAGAAAGACCCTGCTGGCTGGTTTTCATCTGGGGTCTGGCCAGCCTTGGGTGGGAACTGATTAGGTGATAACCCACCAGGTGTCCCTGCCTTCCACATGAACTTTGAGGCAGGGCAAGAAGCCACCTCTGTAAGAGCTGACTGCTTGCAGTGGGGTTGGGAGGTCTGCCCAGAGAGTGTGTGTGCCGTGTGAGGCTTCTGGTTATCAAAAGGGCTCCCTGGCTCTTCATAGGAAGTGGAGTTTCCAGGATGGCAGAACAAGATCATGAATTTCTATCTGGGGAACTACTATATAATTGGACTGATGGTCTGGCTGATTCCATCTCCCACAGCACGGTTCCTTGGCCAGCTTGTTCCCTTCTTCACATCCTTCGCCGTGAGTGCACTGACTTTTCCTTCCTCCGGTTGTCCGGCACTTTGGATCTCTCCTGTACCCTGTGGTAGCAGAGGGAGGGCTTTGGTTGCTGGTCTGCCCATTAGTGATAAGATCCTTCCTAGCTGGGCAAGCAGTCAGCACAAGAGTTGGTTATGTGTACTGAGCACATGTGAGCTTCAGCTGCCCTTCCCTGCACTTTCTGCCAGCAGCTATAAAAGGCAGAGCTGGTGCCCTTCCCTCTCAGGTTCTCCCAATCACAGCCTGTTCTGAAAGGACAACTAGCAACATCCTTCTGTGAGTAAATAACATTTTTTATAAAGAAAGGTAACTGTCTTTCTCTGCTATCTGCAGTTCTGATACAGTGTTGATAATTTTTTAGAATAAATGTAATGGAGTTTTGTGGAGTTTATCTGAGACTATGATTTTGGTGCACTATCAAACAGAAACACAGCTCTTCGTCACCCAATTCAGTGGACTCATGTTCCAGACAATAATGAGCTAACTCATTTATTTTGAGTGAATGCTGTGTTTTTTTCTTTCTCTAAATAACATCAGAGAGCTGGAAGGGCTGGCCAAAGTCTGAGCTAGTACTACTTCTGTCAGATGAATCCCCCGATCATCTCTGCAGCCTGTTGCTGCCAGAAAAATTCTCTCCTACTGGAAATGCAGGAGCAGCCCCAGTCCTCTTACTCCAGTTACCTGTCCTCGTTGTCCTGCAGTGGAGATCTATTTCAGATTCAAGGGTGTATCTCCATATTGCAATTTCCAGTTCTCAAGACAGGTATGTGTATTTTGTTAGATACAGTTGCCACTCCATACAGAACTACTCCCCCTCCGTAGGCCTCATCAGCTGCAAGAGTGTTTATTAAATGTCTGGTGAGCACTGCAGTGCTCAAAGGGTAAATAAAATGTTCTGGTTTCTTATCTCAATGGCTGACGCTTCTGAGGTGCCTCTGCTCACTGCTTTAGCTCTCTTACAGCTTTGGTTTGAGAGCGCAAAAAGAAGCGTGTCGTCATTCATTTTGGAATGGAGTTGTTAGATTTAGCAGAGTGAGCACTTGGAGGTGGACCACTCTGATATTCAGAACCCATCCAGGCAATTGCAAAGCCTGTAGCCTGCGCAGGACTCGTGCAGCCTCAGGAGGAAAACTGATACAAATGATAGCGTGCAATCCCAAGTACTTGGGAAGTGCAAGGTGCGATGGAGCTAGCAAGAGCTAAAGACATCAGGAAGTGGAAACTTTTGACTGGAGCAACATCTCTTCATATACAATCCTCTTACTATAATTTCCTTTCCTATAAACTCACAGGTCCTTTCAAATCATTCCATAAAAGCTCATTTGACAGGTCTATGCTGAAAATGTATTTTGAGAGATAAAAGGTATTTAACCACTTTGCAGTGTCCAAGGTTTCTCTTCCCAAGTAAAACCTCCCTTCTTTTTGGGACACCAGTGTATCTTTCTCAATTACCATAGTTAAACACATTTTTATCTGTCCTATCTGAAGGATTAATCGACCTTTTGCCACAACACTTCTGTGAAGTCTGTGTCAGTAACCATTCAGTGCGAATTGTCAGCGCGTATTCTACCACCTACCCTCTGTTCACATTCAGCTTCAGCTGCTGAAGAAACAGAGGCAGTAGCCCCTGCCCTCCCTTTACATGCCCTGAGGGACAGGAATGGAGTGAGATAGGAAGTGAATGTAGATTCAAGATGACTTTCAAGTAAGGGTGCCTGCAAGTGCAGTGGGGATAGGAACACCCCTGCAGTCATGTAGAGGTTACTACATTGTGTGTGATTCAAAGTACTCATATTTCAGGAACTACAAAAGGATCAACTTCCCTCTTTCAGTGTAGTAAATTCACACCTACAGGAAATACTCTTTCTTTTATACTCTTTTTTTTTTTCTTTTTTTTTTTTTTTTTCTGACACATGAAGAGATCTGCACCTGGTCAGAACTGTATATGTACAGAACACCTCAGAATATGAATAAAAAGAAACAATGTTGAGAGAGGAGGACAGGCTTTGAGAACCCAGGAAGAATGTGGGTTTACAGTGTCATGCTGAGAGGGCACACTGTTCCAGCTGCTGATACCACAAGGAATACCCTGGGGGGCAAAAGCTGAAGGAAAAAACCCGCACGTGCTAAACAGGATTCTACTGGCACAGCACCAAAGGGAGTTGCTGCTATTACCTGAACATTACTTGTTCTTGAACAAATAAGATACTCTTGATTCTAATGCTCATCAGTAGTGATCTTTCACTGTGACAGGTGAAAGCTAGGAATTCCACATTAGGAATGGGGTTGATTCAAAAGACCAGCCTTGGCTATATATATAAAGCAAAATGTTAGCAATATGCACTAATAAAAATGAGGCTGCAGCTCCCTTGCATTGAAACTTCCCAGTCTTGGGGCTCTGCTTTCCATGATTACCTGACTTGACAACATACCCATTTAGGTAGAGGTTATTAACTGAAATATAACAGTACTCTGGTCCTTACCTTTTGTCTCTTTAAAATATCAATTAACTTTAACTGCTTTTTAAAACCTGTCATTAGCTCTCCTTTTTGTTTCTGCAATTTCTTGTTTTCCATTTTTAATTCTTCAATTGTTTTGAGTTCTTGGTTAGCTACATCCTACCAAGGGAAGAAAAGAAGAAATGTATTATTTATGAAAGTGGTGCTGAAACCGCTGAAACTTAGCATTACATAACAAAATGACAAACAGTAGCCACATGTGACATTTCTGAAAAGAAATGGGATTAATCAAAATATTCCCACATCAAAACTTTAAAAAAAAAAACAGCTCAGAGATAACAGCCATGGTATGCCTCTGTATGTATTAGGTGTGTACATGCACTCCTCCCTTTTTCTAAACACATCTAATTTTCACACCGATGGGGAAAATCAGAAAAGCTGTAACTTTACTCTGTATATTTCTTCCTCCTGCACAGGTTGCAGTTAGTGTAGTTCAAGAGAACTTAACAAGCCCTTTGGTGACTTGCTTGAAGTTAGTTTGGGGACTGCCTATAAGAGATAAGATGCTTCCAAAGCTGATCAAGCCTAATTCTAGCATTACTGACAGATTACAGATTGAAACCTGTTTTCCTAAGCCACTGTACCTTGTTGGTTTGCCTCACTTTATTCAGTTCCACTTTGTACCTTTCTGCTTCTTCCAGGGCCCTGTTTAAGCGAACCTCGGTTGCACTCTGACTGGTTGCAGCCTGCTTTTGTACACGCCTTAAGTTCTCCAATTCCTGTTTAAGTAAGCAGTGGATAAAAACAAGCAGTATGACTTATGGTACTTCAATAAAATACATTTACAGCAAGGCCCACCCTTGAAAACTGAAGAAAGTCTGTGGCCATCTTTGGCCTGCAGATAGACTCTGTTTCAAAGACAATTAATTCCACCATTAAAACATCTCCTTATCACATTTTTAGTAACGGGAACAGAAAGATTCTTTTAAACAAATCAGTGTAGACAGGGAGCTTGTTAACCCTTCATTTTTACCATCAGACTGCCTTATTTCTGAGTAATTGTTTTATTTTCTCTGTTCCACACTAGCTCTTGTGGTGGTTACTTATGATTTCCACATCACTTATCCAAGAAACACCTGCTAATTGACAAGTATGTGCAGCAAAGGTGTTACAGTGCCGTTATGACTGGAACAGGTATTTCTGGGAAGCTTTGCATCTTCTCCAAAATGGATGAAGAGAACAGGAGAGTAAGATGCATCTCACTAATCCTTCCAAATTCTATTGGTGAATGTGCCTCCTCCAAGAGTTCAGAAAAACAGATGTGGCTTCAATGTTTGTATTTTGCCACTAACCTATCCATCTGACTGATTAGAAGAAGATGAGTAAGAGCCTGGCTAGGAGGGCAGCAGAGCCCCTTCCTGAGACCTCTGCATGTGCATCATCAGGGAATGCAAATTTGGTTGCTGGAAACTGAGCCCCATGTTTCCAAAGAAAATCAGCTGCACAGCATGCAAACCTCTTGGTCTTGGATCAAGGTGGTGGAGCTGTGAATAGAGTCAGCTAAATCTTTTGTGGTACGTTTTTTATTTTGCATTCCTGTGGAAAGCTTTGGAGTATAGCCTTTCAGGTATTTAATGACCAACAAAATAGTCTATGTGCAATGCAAACAATGTATCAGCTAATCATATCAGCTAATCATACCCTTTAGTGAAAGAATCCTAATGATTCTTCTAGGACTTTTTGACACATACTGTCATATATAATACCTTTTCAAGGATTTATTTGCAAGTCATTCAGTGAGACATTATTGTTAAACAGCTTTGACTCCAAGTTTTTGATCTTAAAAATGCCTGAAATAATTATTTTATTTTTTAAGTAAGCAATGTTTCTGCCAATTCTTCGATACTTTTAGGTAAAAGCTGGATTAATTTTCTCACATAATGTTCCTCTAAGGAGGGAGGGAAATTACTGTGTTCTAAAACTGCATCCCATTTAAATCTCTGGATTTTCTCTGCTGTTCTGGCACAGCTGAGGCACCTGGATATCAGTAGGGGGTGTGATACCAGAGAGCTCTGTAAGTAACCCTTCCAGCAAGCTTGCTTTTCTCCCAGTAGCAAGTATACACAGCACTTCTAAATTTAAATTTATTTTTAAATGTTTGATTTTGGCAGTTAGATCATTTTTTATACCAGAAAATGTGTAAAATAACTGCTGACTTAGCAGAGAACCATTCATTACATTTACTTGCCTTTTTTGATCTCTTAGTATTTTAAAGAACTACCACTACTTGTCATGATCATGTCTGATCAGTAATCTTGAGATATTCTAGAAAACACAACCTATTCGGAGTAACTGAAGCAATGGAGGTTGGTAAATCCGGAGCAGAGACAAGAGACCATATTTTGGACAGAGCAGCTGTACAGCAGAGGTAAATAAACTTTTCATCACAACAGACATCTCCAAACTACTGGGACAAACTTTCTACCTGTGAACTGTGCACAGGAACCAGCATAGGCTGTCTAAGGGAATTATGGAAACTGCAATTACGGAAGGCTGTAAGTACAGATTAAACAAACTTAGGTGCAGGATGGTTTGGATATCATCTAGTCTGTCTTGGTTTAAGAGAGTGGACTAAATGACTCTAAATCTCTCAGCCCTACTTACTGTGAGCTGATGAGTAGTATGAGTACTACTATTGAATATTTTTCCTGACAGAATCAACCATCAGGGTACTTGTTTAAGGGAACTTAACACCTCTAAGTATCTGCATAGGACGAACACACAATTTGAGAACAAATGACAGAACTACACAACGTTAAGGTGAAAGCACACCTATACAAATGTATAGTGGTATTTAATGGAAGCATAATGAGACTTTGTCAGGCTGACTTGTGTCCCGTTTTCCCCAAATCAAGTGAAACATTCTCCTGATTATATTACATGTACTACACAATGCTGTATGTATTACACAGTTTTGAAGTGAGGCTCTCTGTCTCTGAGTAATTAAAGAAAAACACACGCTGCCCCTAGATTAAGTTCCAAACAAACAAAGCTGTGTATGCAGGCCATCTGCTCCAACTGGGCACATACACAGTTTTGCATATGTGGCCTACTGCAGGAGCCAGGTTAATTTTGATTCATCCCAATTGGAGTGGCTGGTTTTCAAACAGTCCATTTTCAAGAACAAAGACACATCCTTTCCTCTGCCTGCAGAAGACACTAATAAAAGCTGCACATGGGCTTTTTAAAGTGTTCAACAGATTCCACAGTTTACAATAAAACTTTTACTACCAAGAGTAGTTTTTAACAATTATAAATAAAAGTAGAAAAAAAAAAACAAAAAACATTTCCCTCTGTTTTTCAAGCCTCCTTTGTGAATTTGATAGCAGTTTCTGTAAAGGTTGTTTTATCTCTTACAAGAATACAAGAATTTAATTTTCAAATACAAAATTATATGACCATAGAAGCTGAAGAAAAGCAATTACCAAAATATATTATTTCTTCCTTTTAAAAAGTGATCAGACTATTTGAAAATACAATTTCTAAAACTATTATCAGAGGATTGAAATGCTAATGGGAACATTGGATGCAAGTCTACTAAACTAGGCTACGGAAGGTGATCTTGTGCTTTTTTTTCCCTTTTGTAAGATAAATGAGACTAGTATCTGCAATACCTTTTCTAGTGCAATGACCTCCTGTTGTAAACCTTCACTTTTTTTGTTTGCTTCTTGTGACAACGTTTTGTACTTTTCAGTCTGAGAATGTTGCATACTGATTGCTCGTTGCAGTCTGGAGTTTTCTTCTTCAGTATCTTTAAGCCGATGTTTTAAATTCTGATTTTCATCATCCTGCTTGGCAACAATTAGCAAAAAAAACCCCAACTAAATTATTGCAAGGAAGCAGTAGGATAATGCAATAATAACATATTGTAAATAAAATTCAGTAAAAATATACATACTGGAGATATGGAGATAAGTTTTTTAAATTGTTATTTTTAAATGTTTAGACCTTTTATGATGGATTTCACAACAATTTTAAGAAAGGAAACAACTAAGAAGAACTAAGAACCAATTTCCCAGGACATTGCTTCAAAACCCAGCAATACTTCTGGTTTCATTTTCTGCAGTCTTTTACTTAGGCCTATCTTGTAGCAGTATGTAAAACATTTTATCTCTCACAGTTCAAAGGTTTTGAGAACTAACTATCAAAATGTTATAGAATAATATGAGTAACAGTGATAAACAGATATTTTGTGACATTTTTGTGAAAATAGCTAAGTGCACACATAAGGAAAAATTCTGGGAAAAAGAAGGGAATATAATTACTGATAAAACAATCCATTATGTTTTACAAGATTATCTGGTCTTGACTTAAAAGCAAGCTAATGATATAGGATACATCAAGTATTCAATTTTAAGATTCTCTTAAAAAGTGAATCTTCTAGTAGATTCATGACCTACTGGCAATTACATCCCACATTAAGCATTATAATTTTGAGGGATTTTTCTTTTATAACCTTTTAAGTATTATAAGGGAATACTAATGTAGGTTATTTCAGAGACACACAATGACCTTTGTTTCTTTAAGAAAAATAAATCAAGGTATGTGTAATGTCTAATTGTACATCTAACTGTACATGCACATGTAATGCTGAAGGTAATAGTAATTTTCACATCAGAAAAACTAGAAACAGAATGATACATTGAAATGCTGGGGTTTGAACCCCAAGCCCTGAATTAAGGTTGACATATGGGTGATTCCCACAGCCCTTCATAGAGAGGGGGTGAGTTTGCCTTATAGCTTCCCCCCAGGGTGCGGCCGGCCCTGCAGGGAGAGCCAGAAGGGAAATGAGCCCCAGGGGTCCCGCATTGAGTTGACAAAGGTCAGGTGTCTGCTTGGGGATAAAAGCTGGGACCACTGGCAGGGAGTCAGGAGTGTCTGTCTGTGGAGTGCACTCCACAGAGCTTCCTGGTTCAGGGCAGACCTCCTGACTCTCCCTGGAGCTGGGCCCCAGTCTGCTCAAGACCTTTGCAAATGTGGGCTGATCAGGTGAGAGTCACTATGTGGTCACCTTTCTCTTATGTGTTCAGCTTGCTGGTCTGGCTGTTTCCCATGCCAACTGTGGGCAACCTCGGGTCTCTGTTTGTACCACCTGTTGTGGGCCAAGTTACGTCCTTTGTGGGATCATTGGGGGTGTTGTTGTTTATGTACCAGCTGATTGATCTGTTTGTACCCCCAGCGATCATTCATGGAATGTCCTTCTTGTCTACAATACAGTCTGTGTATTGGTTCATCTTCCTGCTGGTGGTGGTATCATGTTTTTTGGGCCTGGTCATTGGTAAAACATACATTTACATGCAGAGTGTCATGGGAGCAGGACAAGAATAGGTACAAGGTTGTCTTCTGTCATCTGCTATAGTAACTGTATTCTGTAGTAACTTTGGCATGGAATAATGAAGTTCAATAGCTACTGACAAAATGATATTTGATTTGAAAATGTCTTTAAAATCTAAAGTAATAACTTCCTTCTGATCACAGCATAAAAGTATTGAAATGCAGCACCACTTGTACTGAAAAAAATTAAAAGTACAGATATAAAGTACCAAAATCTAATTTCTTCTAAAGATTTGTCCCTAGATGCCTATCTCAAAGAATCTTAGTACTATCCTGCTCCTCACCTCTAAATTAAAAGCTTGACAGAAAACATACAGGTGGTTTGCCATACGTTCTGAATGCCATCATTGCATTTGGGCCTGTGGAACAGGTGCAGAAAAGTATTCCAAAGTTCACAGACCACAACTAAGAATAATATAATTGTGTAAAATGCAAAGTCAGTTCAAAAACCTTGTTTGATTACAAATGCATGAAAAAGAGGTGATGCCTCTGGCAGACAGACACAAGCTACTTAAGGTTTTACAGTTCAAGAGATGCTTGAGCATCACCTGAAAACATATTGCCAGACAGTGCAGATTATAAAACTCACTCGTAGTACACTCTAACAGAAAAATACCAGTGTAGCTTCATGATGCCTTAACTTCAGTCTGCCCAAATATGTCATTCCAAATACTGCCCTCCACATCGTGTCATCTTGAGAATAGAGAGACTAATTTCTGTTTTGATTACAATATACCACTGCATGTGGATCATACATCAGCTGTTTCCACACTTTGTTCCACCAAAGACACTGAAAGCACCTAATTAAATTTCTCACGGTTTTTGATTTCTCATTCTGCCCTAAACATGCCTCTGCTCCCATCACCCAACTCTGGGCAGCACTCCTCTCTGTAGACCCAAATCTCTATTTGACTGCTACCATATCATCCTCCTCTTCCTTGGGCTCTGGTAACGCTCTCCTTCCCAGCAGTGATGGCTGGGGCACTCTGCAGCACCACTGTCCCCACAGCTGGGGCACATCTTCATTCCAAGTGGTTCTTCCCTGCCTCAAATTCTTTTCCTTAAGTATATTTTGCAAGCTTTTAGCTCAAGACCAGATTTATAGGGAAATTATGATCCTTCACTCTAAATTCTCAGGAAATTTAAAACACCAGAATCTTAGCTCTTCCATATTTGAAAAGGAAAGGTTGAGGGAATTCTGTTGTGATTATTTGTTACAAGGGAAACTACTCCATTTCTGCAGACAAGAAAGCTCAGCTCTTACCTTTTTCCTGCACTCACACACTACACTATCCAGCTCTTCCTGCATAACACGTAACTTGGCCTTAAGAAACCTGATTTGAGCTTCTGTGAACATAAGTTACATTTAGTATACACGAATACTCATTACTCAGCACAGAAGAGAAGCAAGAGTGATGTAAGAACTCACTTTCATCTTCTCGTTTTTAAAGCCATACCAAGTTGTTTGTAATTATTAAAGAGAAATAGGCAAATAAAAACTCAGATTTCTAAATAAATGTTGCAAGTTTCTCATTCTTAGCCGAAGTTTTGTATAGATCTTTAGTTTTAATGACTGAACTCAACATCTTTAAAACGTAAAAGACTCATCACTCTCAAAATTGAAACTTACTGTAAACTTGCATCATACTATGCTATATATCACAGCATTCCTTGAGATTGAAGCCAAGAAGACTATATTGTAGGCTATATTGAAACACCCTTGGTGCAGATTTGGAGTCTTGTCTCTTTAATTGTGGTGGTGGTTATTGAAATCCTGAATCAGAGCCACATTTGCACATAAAGTTAACAGCATGCCGTTAATGCCTACATGCTTTCCTGACTTTGTCTACACTGCATTCAGTCTAGAGCTGCATTTTGTGCAGTTACGCCCAAAGTAGTTTTAAACTGCTAACAAGGAACTACCTGTAGACTGCAAAACCCTCCTAACAGGTAAACAGCCCTCCCAAACAGTAGTTTATGCTTATTTAAAGTACACTGCAAATGTTATTTAATTAATAGTTTCAAATTAAAGCAATTTGATGAGATGGGTTTTCCAAATGAAATACTTCCTTGCTGTTGGACAGCTAAGAATGGCACTACTGTTATGACAAAACTGGCTGTGTGTGAACAGTATGTTCTTGTACTCCCTCTTCCCCACCCTTTTCCCAGCTCACCCAGGAGGAAATTGCACGGAACTTCCATGGGCACACAAGGCATGGGAGCAGCATGAGCAGCAAGTTGAGCAACACAGGAATAACCACTCTTCACAGCAAGAAAAGGATAAAGTGGAGGAGGAGCATCTAGAGCTGAACATGAAGGGATGGATGGGTACATGTGTTCATTTGCTGTAACAGGATGTTAATTTCACCCAACTTCCTTTATCAACTGTCAATTGCAGATTCAGTTGTAACTCTGCAAAGGCCAATAACAAGCAGGATTTGGGAAAACACTAGAAAAAAATAAGATACAGAGAGCCTTTTTTCCTCCTGTTACATCCTTGCTAGCTTCTGGTACATAGTGGCTATCCTGAGATGCATACTGTATTGAAGCCATCACGTTTAGTACTCTTTCATCTACTTCTATACTATCAGGTTATCTTCTTCATAAAATATATTGTAGTTTGGCAGTCACAACAGCCTGTGGCAGTAAGTTGCCTGATTTAATTATGTATTATGTGAAAGAATACCTTGTATAGCTTGCTTTAAATACCATTTACTGTGCTGTTTCCTGGTGTTTGCATTACAAAAAGAAAGGTTTCCCTTTCCCATTGCTCTTTTGTTACAGAATCTTTCATATTGCCCTCAATTCTTTTGTTTTCAAATTGAAGATTCAAATTCAAGTCTAATTCTACTTCTAATTGCTATTATATAGTCTTGCCTGTATCTTTTCTAGTTCTATATCCTGGATTTGAGATGGGATGTGCAGAACCATGTGTCATACTCAAGGTGATGTAGCATCAATTGTATGATAGTATCATGATAATGTACAATATTTTCTTTCTTGTTATCTTCTGAAGGACTTGTAACAATTGATTTACCTTTTCCACTGTGAACAAGCAATAAATTTATGCTTTTGCAGTTTTTTGTCTTAATAATAGCTACATAAGGTCCACCTCAGAAGCAGGCATAATTGGAGTTGCTTTTTCTAGCAGTATTACTTTGCACTCCTTAATGCTGAATATAAACTCCATTCTGTCCCCTCACTCAGTACTATAAGATTATTCTACAACACTTCACTGTCATTTTTAACTACCCTCAATAGTAAAAAAAAAAAAAGCTAAAATCATTGTTTCATTTACAAATTTCTTTACTAGTTAGCATTCCTTTTTTTCAGATTATTTTCCTGTATATTGAGCAAGCTAAGCTCCATGACAGATCACTCCAGGGCTATACCACTCTGCAAAACCTGGTTGTTTCTTTCTACCACTTTGTTTCCTCTTTTACTCAGTTATTAGTCCACAGACAACTTCTCTTCTGTCTTAGACGTCTTTTCTGTGTCATTAAGGGCACTTAGGAGTAAACCTTACTGAAAAATCCGAGAGCACAGCTAGAAACAGATCTGCCTTTGCAATTAGCTATGATCCATAATTAGTTCGAATTCTCACAAGATCTGAAGATAATTAAACAATTAACTTCCTAATGGGTCAATTTTAATCACCTGATGAGACTGATAAGGGGGGAGTGGTATCACTTAATAGGATTGTTTTATGTTATAAAGTAACCAACAGTTTACAGTAGGGTGTGCGGAAAATGCCGTTGCCAGAGGTCGATGTTCCAATAGGAGACAGAGGAGTCCTGTAAAATATACTTTATTTGAATAAAGGGAGAGTCCAGGGGCATATCCCGGTGGGGTCTCTCAGTTTGGCTGGGGGACGCAGCCCCATTCTTATCCTACTTTCCCGGGCGCAAATTTCCCTCCTCCTTTCCCCATTGGCTGAGGTACTCAGAGTGTACAGACTGCCCGGGATGCCTACTACATATCCCCCTCAACATGTACCCCCCTTCTCATCCTACATCCCATGTCTCATTAACTTCATTTTATGCCTCCCCTGGGAGGAGAAGTTACTATGTATAAATTCATTAAGCATGCATACTAGTTCCCAAAGTTCAGAGGTTTAGGCTATGTAAATGTCTTGAGGTAGATAATCTAGGTTTGTTTAAATTCATTCAAGTCTTCAGGTTCTTCTTGCTTGGTTCTTTTTGTATGTAAAGTGGCCAGGCTACCACGTAGGAGCACTGGTAATTGTATCTCTCCACATAGTGTTTTACCCTTGCTCCCTGCTGAGAAGATACATTCCCCGCTTTATCCTATCAAGGGTAAGTATGAGAGAGACGTTTGGGAGGTTCTGATACTATGTGAGAAAGAACAGGTGTCTTGAATCCCTAAAATAATCTGAAGATTAGAGTGACAACATGAAGTGTGACAGCATATTCAGGTATGTTGTTC